TTTCTCATTAGCTTTGTAACTTATAAAGAAAGCTTAAAAGTTTTTTGATGGAAATCTATATTTGGGCAGCAAAGTAAGAGACTCAGATGATCAATTCTTCTGAAAATTAGGGTACCAATTCAGGAGCTAAGGGACCTAAGGCATCTAAGTTGAAGAAAGCTTGAAAGAAAACTCAGTGTTAATTCTTCTAAACAGCATTATTATTATGAGATTTAATCTATTAATAAGATCTAATTCACTTTGATTGATATGCAATTTTAAGTGTTGTTCATAATTTAGAGAAATGTCTTTGTTTTGGTATTTTTTAAAAATATTGATGCATTAAAGATGATGGCATACGTGGAAGAAGAAAACTTCATGTGCCTTAGATCTATATGTATAAGCCAACAAACACTGATTTTCTGATTTCTCAGAAAGCGTGACAGAAGTATATTCCCATTTCATATTATCCTTTAGTTAAGTAATGCCATATTGAACACGAAGTTGAAATACTCTTCTCCAGGCTAATCATAAGCAATTATCTCCTAGCACATAATTGTTGTTTCTGGAAGTTCTGTTACATAAACAATTAAACGTGGACTATGTGGGAACATTTCAAATTGCAACATACTAGTTTTGCCAGGATCTGGTGAAGTCTCCACATTTCTTTGGCCATTTCTTTGATGTTGCCTCTAGGTTATGAAGGTGCTCTGTGCCTTCATGATGGCATAGACTCATCCTGAACACCAGATAAAGGATTTAAAACAATTTACAGTCGTGTGTAATTGCCCCCTTAAAACTTCAGCCTTTGTGTGAGTTATGGCCTTTAGAGCTTGTTCAAAACTGTTCAAAAATAGTGTTTGAGGATACAGAGAGGAGCCAGGACTTCTGTCCTGAGCATGAAAATCTCCAGGTCATCCTTGGCTTATGTGAGGCCAGTCAGGAAAATAGGTGCTGACATTCTTTTTTACAGGCGCTGACTTAAACTGCTTGCAAATGGCCCCTCCTCTCCACAGCTTGCCTTTCTGTCCAAGCCCAGGCATTCCTGGGCACAGGATTCACACAACCAGTGAAGGCTTATAAACAGCATATTCTCTTCATCCACTGTGTGCTACTGTCCACTCCCTTTTTTCTCCTCTGCAGGTATGGAAGTGCTTGCAAAAAGCAGCATTTGCATCCAACTGAATCCTCACTTTGCAACAGCACTAACAGCTCTATAATTTATTCCACAGACTGGATATATTCAAATATTTATATATAGCTTATATGCTGGAGCCATTATCTTCTCTGTTGCTGAGTTGTGTAAGCTGCATGCACGGTCTCCAAGACTCCATTTGTGGAGCTTTTCCACCACAACTGTTTTGTTTATTAAGTCTCCAGATCCCATCAGGTATGTTCTGTCAAGCCAAGTAAGGCCTGATGGTTTCTTTACAAGTTGTAATAACAGGACTGCTTACACATCAAATGTTACTCCAATGCATTGGAACTCATCTGGTACCAATAAATAGAACCGACAAGAAGTTTCTAATTCAAGCCATTTTTTTGAGAACTGACTCCATAAGAAACACTCAGTTTTTCAAGAAATAACAGCATCATTTCCCAAGATCTAAATTTCCCATTTGGGTTAGAAATTATCTTTGGGAAATGTCATGAGCTATTCATAGTAAGCAATACAAAAACTCTCATGAAAAACCAACCTCCAGCTGCAAACTATAGTCTACTGTATTTTTGAGTGTGCCATATTTGACACACTTCTCACAACTATTGTTCCTTGAAAAGAAGTATTCAGATAATGTGCGTCATTGAACTGTGAGTAGACATTTGGTGATCACCCTGTTTAAGTTTGTTCTGCTGCCGCTTTCTTGGTTCTCTGTTCACATCTCACCTGTCCCCTTCAGTAAGCTGGACAGGTACTTGTATGGCCATACAGGAAACATGAGTAAACTGGAGAAGGAACCAAAAAAGAAAATTTATTCTTCAATTAGATCAGCTGCCTGTACAATTGACCATGTAGCCACCCAAACAGCTCAGCCAGAATGATGAAGGGAGTAGGGAAGAGCAAGCAGACTCTGATAGGGAAGATGCAATTTATGTAGGAACTCCTGTAAAAGAAATACTCATGTATCTTAGGCCTCAAATAACATGAACCCCCCATTTAAGACATTTGGCATATGCAAGAAACTGTAAATAGGTTCAGAAGTACAGTGGAACAGAAGCACACAGGTTTTCAAGAAGATCTGGTGAGAAGAGTTGTTTGAATCACAATAGTGCTTTGTGCGCTGTGATTACCACCCCAGCTTTTGGCTTTGCTGGACTGTGTCGTTCATTTCTGTTAACACAACAGTCAGTATTCACTTAATAGTAATAACTGCTTAATAGAAACAAAATTATGTTTTATTTGCCCTTTGAACATGCAGTTGCATCTGTGTAATATACTGTGTCATTTGTTTATCAACAGTTAAGGATTAAAGTTTTATTTTGTTTCGACTTTTGCCGTGGCTTTGTGCATGAATGATAATCAGACAAACTGTGAGTTGAGTGATGACGACTCAAGCATTTAGTAGAAAATTTTATGGGAATCAAAGCTGGGGAAAAAAGCCACCAGAGGAATCCAGAGAAGTGTCTTATTATGATAAAACTAGGGAAAATCTGCATATTTAGAATTTTTTTGAAAAATAAAATACATACATGTATGTATGTATACGTGTATATGTGTGTTTATGAAGAACATTCAGGTTGCAAATGTGCAAAATATGATACCTGTTGAGATGTGTTCATTTCATAGGAAGTATGCAGCTTGCTTTTGTAAGTCAAAGACAATGAGATTTTTGTGAAGCAAAAAGTACTCTCAACAAATCTAGTAACAAGAATGTACATTTCCATAATAAGTCCACCACCTAAAATTGATAGGTAGAAACAATAAATCCACATTTTGATGAGCAAAAGAAAATCATATCCAGAGACTGCCTATTCCTGTCTGTATGATTGCAGGAGTTTGTTATGTTACTAGATTTCTCCTTTTCATCTTGCAGAAAGTACTTCAGGGCATCGCTTGCTGTTCTCAAGGCATGAGAAACTGCCCTGGCACTTACCTGAATTCAGAATTAGCTGAAGAATTAACCGAAGAATTAGCTGAAGAATTAGAGAGACTGGGGAGGGAGGGCAGAAGGGAGGTAGAAAATGAATATGTTTTTAAAGGCTGACTGATTTGAAGGCATGACTGTGACAGATGTTAGAGGAGCAGGGAAAGAGATGATGCTGTACTACAAAGAGATGATGGCTAAGAAGAAAGAAAAAAATAGGAGCGATAGGGAAACACAGCAAATACTTCCTTATGGGTCATGGAATTGCTCCAAGGGCACTGCTTTAACTCTCCAACCTCTACAAAACCTAGATGTGCTATTAGCCCACAGTAGAAGTTTTCCATGAGGCCCTCCCTTGTTGTGATGGGTTGACCTTGGTTGGATTCCAGGGTCCCTCCAAAGCTGCTCTATCACTCCCCTTCCTCAGCTGGACAGGGGAGAGAAAAATATAACGAAAAGCTCGTGGGTCGAGATAAGGACAGGGAGAGATCACTCGCCAATTACCGTCACGGGCAAAACAGACTCAACTTGGGGACAAGAATTAATTTGATTTGTTACCAATCAAATCAGAGTAGGATAATGAGAAATAGAACCAAATCTTAAAACCACCTTCCCCCTACCCCTCCCTTTTTCTCAGGCTTAACTTTACTCACGATTTTCTCTACCTCCTCCCCTCCAGCGGCACAGAGGGACAGGGACTAGGGGTTGAGGTCAGTTCATCACATGTTGTCTCTGCTGCTCCTTCCTCCTCAGGGGGAGGACTCCTCACACTCTTCCCCTGCTCCAGCGTGGGGTCCCTCCCACGGGAGACAG